TCCTTATGTAACTTTGGACAAGTTGACCTTTCTGGGCCTCAGTTTCTTCATAGGTAAAATGAGATAGATCAAATGGTTGACTTCAGAAGCCCCTTTTAACTCTAAATTAAGGCTCCTATGATTGCATGGCAATATTAGATACATTAGATAACACATTTCATGAAGTGATGTAAGATGATAAAAAAAAATAATTACAGTGAGATGTCACTGCTCTGTCAGTATTACATTTCCTGAGGTTAAATAAGACTTTTTCTAGTCAGATGCAGTTACCATTAGTCTTAATTCAAGGAGCCTATGGAGTCTCTCAGCTATAGTTTCCGTTACCTTTTATTTTGTTGTATATATTTGGAATTGTTTCAGAAGTTTCTTGGGGGTAATGCAAATCAACATTCCTTCAAAACAATTCCAGAAAAGGCATAAAAGATGTCATCTCACACAGATTTAAGTAACTTAGAGTGTCTTTTTGTTCCCTATTTCAAAATCAGAATAAAGGTTCATATACAAAGGACATGCTATATAAATTAAAAAGCATTTTCTTACTTAGAAATGTATTGTAACTCCTTTGTATTTCAAACTTTATTATGTATTCTGAAGGTTACGTTGGACTTGTTCATTGTTCTGGAAGATTTTTGTAGTAGCTTTTATCCCAAAACACTTAAGCTCTTACCTGATCTGTCCAACATGTGTTTCTTTGATATTATAAAGTGCTGTTGTATTTTGTAGGAACATGGACATACAAGGTCTTTAGTTGAATGTTTATGCTATAAATCTATTTATTTGCCTTAGGGCTTTATAAAATAGAAGTGATGTAACAATGCCATGATTTTCAAACACTATCATTCAGGTATGACTGTTGATAAATTAGCGGTTTCCATGTCACATTCCTCTTTACCAAAATACTATTCAGACATCTCATCATTGTGTGGAGGTGGGCCTATGTTCTCAAAGTCCATGTCAAAAGAGCAGAAACTCTAGCAGATTCTACCAGTTTGGAAAAGCTTCAAGTATGTGCCCAGTGACAGTGCCTGCTTTCTGAGAACCAGCTTAGCTAAGTATGGCAAGTCTTAACACTGTTAGTTTATCCACTAGGCAATGATTTCTTTGACACAGCAAGATATTTACATCAAATTCCTTCAAAAGCTCCCCGTACATCTTGACACCACCTCTCTCAGGCTTTTCTTCCCTCTGATTGGAGGGTGGCGTACTAAACACCTCCCAATGCCTTCGTTTGTAGAGGGTAGAGACTGAAGTTTTTCCTCACTCCACTCTGCCTCTGCTATTCTACCTGGTTTCAACTTTATGGAATAAGATGCACCTGGTGCATCTTCTACCCCCTGACATCCCCTTGTCCCATTTTCCACTGTCCTGCTTCCTTTTGTGTGTTGTTCCCCTGTCCCCATTAGATTGTAAGCTCCTTGAAGGCAGGGACTGTCATTCTTTTTGTTTATTTTATCCTCAGCTCTTAGCCCAGTGCCTGGCTCATAGTAGGCACTTGATAAATGTTTATTGTGTTGGAACTCACGTTGTAGTATCTAGAGTTATCCATGTATGAGAATATGTTTGTCATCAATGCATTATTAATTCCTTTTTAACAAACATTTATTAAACTTCTACTCTGTGTCAGGAGTAGATGTTACAGTAAATAAAATATTTGCCCTTAAGGAGCATAATTCTTTCAGGGGAGACAATGTATACATAAAAAATAAAAACAAGGTAATTTATATGGGAGAGAGACTATGAACAGGAGAGATTAGGAAATGCGTTATGTAGAAGGTAGATTTGAAGCTGAGCTTTGAGAGTGGTAAGGGATTTTACAAGGCAGAGATGAGTGCGTTCCAATCATGGGGAACAGCCTGTACAAAATCATGGAGCTGGGATATGGAGTGTCATGTGAGGAATAGCAAGAAGTCCAGTTTGACCAGACCATAGAGTATGCAAAGGGGAGTCATATTTAGGTTGTTACCAGGTTATGAGACACTTTCAGTGCCATATTGGAGGAGGTGGCGTTGAGCTATGTTTTGGGGAAATCTTTTTGAGAGCTATGAAGAAAATGGATTGAAGGGGGAGAGGTTGGAGACAGGGAAACCAATTCGTAGGCTACTGTAATAGTTCAGGCAAGAGGTGATGAGAACCTGAATGAGAGTATTAGGTTTGTGAGCTGAGAAAAGGGAATGTATGCAAGAGGTGTCAGGGAAGTAATTGGTAAGACCTGCTGGCAACTGATCAGATATGTAGAGTTGTGGGAGGGAAGTCAAGGATAAGATTGAATTTATGTACCTGGGTGACTGGAAGACTATTGGTGCCCCGAGCTGGACATTTAGAAGAGGGTTGGGTTTAGGGAGATAAGATTGGTTGTTGTCCTTGTTCTCGAGGAGGACCAAAATGACATCACTATGTTAGAGTCAAGTTATGGTGTGTCCAGCTGTGGCTGATCAGACCAATACGAGCTTGGAATGCACTACCACAGGTTGGGTACAAATAGTCCTTGTGAGCACTTGGGGTGGATTCTCTAAATTTACGCATCTCCCATCTCTTTTGAGCTGCTTCAGTTCTGCTTTGCTCGTAGAGCATAGCACCTTCTCTGATGTGGGCATCTCATGCTGGGCAGTTCTCTGTCAGTGTCTCCCATGTCACACAATCAGTTCCAAAGTTCTTAACAGAGACTTTGAGAGTGTCCTCATGTGACTTTTTCTGATCGCCATAAAATAGTCTTTTTGGCAAGGAAGGAAGCTAAGAAAAGGTAATGTTGCTTTGGGTATGTTGAGTTTGGCATGTCTTTGGGACATCTAGTTCTGAAATCTCTGGAAAAGGGGTCATTCATGACTAGAACTCTGGAGAGAGAATCTGAGAGAGATGTATAGTTCTCATCTCATGCGAATGGATGAGGTCATCACTAACAAAATTGTAGAGAGCAAAGAGATGAGGCCCAGGATAGAGCCTTGGGGTTTACCCTCAGAACCCAGTGTGGATTATGATTCAATAAAGTGGAGCCCCAAGGTGTTGAAAAAGCATTTACTAAATTAACCAAAACACAGCCTTAAAGGTTCTTTTCCAACAAGGAATCTCTGTTGTATTCATTGAGACAAATGAGATTCCTTGTTAAATACAGCACAGATGAATATGTTCAAGTGAGGTGATTGTCAAGTGAGGCTTATTGTAGAGTATGTAGGTCACCAAAATTGCTGGCCATCCTCATGGAGGATTGTCCCAAGGAAGGTCCAGATTGAAGGGGGATTTTCTGTGGATGGTTCGGTCCTCTAGATCCTTTGTGGATGATTGCATCAAGTGCTGCAATGTCATAGGATAACCACAGTGAGATACATAAATACTCAGAGATTGGCCTAATCATCTCTACAGAAAAACCTAAATGAATGAAAGATGTCTGTTTTCCAGTCCACAATATACAGTTGAAAATCTCTTGAGTTAGTTGCTGACAGTGAGTTAATAACAGAATTAATGAAGGGAAAGGACAAACTATAATTGGGAAATTGCCTGGTGCTTTCAACAATTTCAAGCTGTCCTTTTTTTAAAAATACCTTACTTGTAATACAAATGTTCTCTGGATGATGCTATATGGTTGTGACTCTTAGAATGTAACAATCTCCAAAGAATTAGTTGTGGGTGATCCATAGGGTAATGCACAGATTCATAATAAGTATAAGTAGTCTGCGGCACATGAAGAGAGGGATGAGCGTATAGTAAGAAGATATTGATTATAATTCCATGTCTGCCACTTGCTGCTGTGTGACTTTGGATAAAAAACTTTAATTCCCTGCAGTTCATTTTTTTCTTACTTGAAAAATGAGTGGATTAGACTAGATGACCCCTCAAGCCCCATTCAGTTTGATGATTCTATTTTCCTATGCATAAGAAATTTAGTATTTCCTTCAGTTATGAATTAAAAAAGCAAAATAAAACATGAGTCTAAGAAGTGACCCATAGGCTTCACCAGACTTCCAAGGTAGGTGGGGAGAAGAGGAGGTCCATGACACCTAAAAGGTTAAAACTCTGTTTTAAACTAACTTTGTTTTGAGAGCTTATCTCCTGCTTTACAATTAAGCAGTCATCTCTAGAATTTAGGGATTATAGGATCATAGACTTAGAACTAGAAGGGACCCTAGAGTCTATCAAATCCAATCCCCATCATTTTACAGATGAGATAGCTAAGGCTCAAAATGATTACAAAACTTGCCCAGCTCTCATAACTGTTAAAGGCAGTTTAAACTGAGGCAAGATTTAAACCGGCCTTCCTGACTCCCAGATCTGGTAATCTATCTACTGTACTGTAGAAAATAGTCTAAATTCATCCTTTTTCCTTTCAAATGACCAAATATAGGCTGTTAATTAATTATAAGATTAAGCTAATTTTAAAACAGGAAAGTGATTCACTTAAAGTGTTTACTTGAATTGCTATTTACTTAGTGTACTTAGTTTAACTTTCATATATTTATTTGGAGCAGAAGATAAAATATCAGAGCAGAATGTTTTGCTTCTTTCTCCAAAATTCTCACAATCAACTCTGTTTTTAATAACTGTGTCCAAATCTTGAGGGAAAACTGCTAGAAAGGAGAATGAGACAGGGAAAATAAATATATGTTACTACCTACTATTGTAAGTCCTACAGAACAGAAGAGAATGTGAACTGTAATGTGATCAGTTTGAGTTCTCTCGCTGCCTCCTGTATAATTCATTATGAGATGTTTCACATGGATTTGCATCTTACATTTGAAAAATACAAAATGAAATGAAATGAAAAAAAGAAAATTAGGAAACTGCAGTATTGTGGGTTTTACATATTAGAAGTACTTTTTGTTGCTCAGATTGAAAGACGTTACATGCTTCTAGTGCTAAACATCATCATTTTTTTAAAACCTATGTCTTGCTTATCTGCTCAGCTCAGGTCATTAATTTGGTAAGTACCCTTGGTAAATTTTATCCACCTGCTAATACTTCAATTTCTTTTAAATTCAGTAGTAATAAAGTATTACTTTGCTTTACAGTTTTTGTTTTTTCCTGAGAACTTGAAGACTTCACGAAAACCTAACAGGTACTATATCTTATTTTAAGTAAACCTGACATACACCTGAGGGTGTTATTATTTGCTTTACAATAATATTCCTTAAAATTGTGAGATCTAGTGTTTATATTTGTCTCATATATAACTTTTCAGGGGTATATCTTTATCATAAAATGGGTTTGGTTAAAATTAACATCCTTAAGAAATAGTGCAAGACAACTAAAATATGTATATTAATGACCTCAGCCTTCTCCCTCAAACACTGTCCCATCTTTTAAGTATCTACATTCTTCCAGGGATATTGTATAGGTTGTAGGTAAATAAATACCATTGTCTCCAAAGAATTAAAAGTACAGGTTACCCAAATGGCAATATGGATGCACAGTTATGAGCAGGCTGTGATATATTAACAATGAAGAATTTGTGTGGGAAAGCTGGCATAGTGTGTGTGAGGTATTTGGAGTATAGCCAACAGCACTGGTATTCTTGGAATGTCAAGAGAATTAGAGGAAGGCCCCTAGCATGTTGAATGGATCCCCTCTGGAGAATCATAGGCAGTCAGGGACAAGAGTCACATAGGAGGAAGAGGGGTGGATGGCTTGAGATCTATAGGCATAAAGTAGTAGTCCAAGTGTACTGTTCTCTTTGGACTTCACCTACAGTATTGTAATTCGTTCTTTTTTTTTTCCTACCCTCAAAGCACTTACATTTTATTGCTATTATTTTTCCCCACTTGATAGTATTTAATTTTTTCTAATTACATATACAGATAGTTTTCAACATTCACTTTTATAAGATTTTGACTTCCAGATTTTTCTCCCTTCCTCCCGTCCTCCCCAAGACAACAAGGAATCTGATATAGGTTAAACATGTGCAGTCATATTAAATATATTTCCATATTAGTCATGTAGTAAAAGAAGAAATCAGAACAAAAGGGGAAAGCCATGAGAAAGAAGAAACAAAAAACAAAAAAAAGTGAAAATAGTATGCTTTGATCTGCATTCAGACTCCATAGTTCTTTCTCTGGATGTGAATAACATTTTCCATTGTGAGTCTTGGAATTGTCTTGGATCATTGTATTGCTGAGAACAAAGTCTATCATAGTTGATCATCTTACAGTGTTGCTGTTATTGTGTGCAATGTTCTCCTGGTTCTGCTCACTTCACTCAGCATCTTACTGTTCACATAAGTGTTTCCAGGTTTTTTCTGAAATCTACCTGCTCATTATTTCTTTATTGTACAATATTGCACAATAGTATTCTATTACAGATATATACATACATATATATATATACACATATATATGTATGTATATGTATATATGTATGTGTATATATATATATATATATATATATATATATATACCACAACTTGTTCAGCCATTCCCAAATTGATGGGCATTCCATCAATTTCCAATTCTTTGCTACCACAAAAAGAGCCACTATAAATATTTTTGTACATGTGGGTCTTTTCCCCATTTTTACGATCTCTTTGGGATACAGGCCTAGTAGTGGTATTGCTAGATAAAAGGGTGTGCACAGTTTGGTTGCCCTTTGGGCATAATTCCAAATTGCTCTCCAGAACAGTTGAATCAGTTCACAACACCACCAACAATTCATTAATGTTCCAATTTTCCCACATCTTTTCCGATATCCATCATTTTCCTTTTCTGTCATATTAGCCAATCTATTAGGTGTGAGGTGGTAGCTCAGAGTTGTTTTGATTTGCATTTTTCTAATCAATAGTGATTTAGATAATTTTTTCATACGATTGTAGATAGCTTTAATTTCTTCATCTGAAAACTGCCTGTTCGTATCCTTTGACCATTTATCAATTGGGGGATGACTTGTATTCTTATAAATTTGACTCAGTTCTCTATATATTTTAGAAATGAGGCCTTTATCAGAAGCATTGGCTATAAAGATTGTTTCCCAGCTTTTTGCTTTCCTTCTAATCTTGGTTGCATTGGTTTTGTTTGTACAAAAACTTTTTAATTTAATGTAATCAAAATTATCCATTTTGCATTTCATAATACTCTCTATTTCTTGTTCAGTCATAAATTCTTCCCTTCTCTATAGATCTGACAGGTAATCTATTCCTTATTGTCCTAATTTGCTTATGGTATCACCATTTAAGTCAAAATCATATACGCATTTTGACCTTATCTTGATATATGGTGTTTGATGTTGGTCTGTACCTAGGTCATAGTATTCATACTATTTTGCAGTTTTCCCAGCAGTTTTTGTCAAAGAATGAGTTTTTATCCTAGAAGCTGTAGTCTTTGGGTTTCACAAACAGTAGATTACTGTAGTCATTTGTGTCTTGTGTACCTTGCCTATTCCACTGATCCACCACTCTATTTCTTAGCCAGTACCAAATCACTTTACGATATAGTTTTAGATCTAGTATTGCTAGGCTAACTTCCTTTGCATTTTTTTTCATTAATTCCCTTGATATCCTGGACCTTTTTTTCTTCCGGATGAATTTTATTATTTTTTCTAGCTCTATAAAATCATTTTTGGTAGTTTGATTGGTATGACATTGAATGAATAAATTAATTCAGGTAGCTTTGTCATTTTTATTATATTAGCTCGACCAATTCATGAGCAATTGATATTTTTTCTAGTTGTTTAAATCTGATTTTGTTTGTGTGAAAAGTGTTTTGTAATTGTGTTCATATAGTTTCTGACTTTGTCTTGGCAGGTAGACTGCCAAATATTTTACATTGTCTACAGTTATTTCAAATGGAATTTCTTCTTTTATCTCTTGCTGCTGGGCTTTGTTGGTCAGGTATAGGAAATACTGATGATTAATGTGAGTTTATTTTATATCCTGCAACTTTGCTAAAGCTGTTAATTATTTCACATAGTTTTTTAGTTGATTCTCTAAGTGTATCATCAGATCATCTGCAAAGAGTGATAGTTTTGTTTCTTCCTTGCCTATTCTAATTCCTTCAATTTCTTTTTCTTCTCTTATTGCTAAAGCTAACATTTCTAGTATAATGTTGAATAATGATAATGGGCATCCTTGTTTCACCCCTCATCTTAAGGCTTCTAGCTTATTGCCATTACATATATTTGCTTGCTGATGGTTTTGGATAGATGCTACTTCTCATTTTAAGGAGAATTCCATTTATTCCTATGTTGTCTAAATTTTTTTACATAAATTTATTTATTTATTTTTAGTTTTTAACATTCACTTCCATAAGATTTTGAGTTCCAAATTTTCTCCCCATCTCTCCCCTCCCCCTACCCTAAGATGGCATGTGAATTGATAGAGTCTCAATATATACATTTAAATTAAACCTATTTTCACATTAGTTAAGTTGTAAAGAAGAATTAGAACCAAAGGGAGAAACCATGAGAAAGAAGAAACAAAAAAAAAAGAGAGGGAAAGCAAATAATGTGCTTCAGTCTGCATTCAGACTCCATAGTTCTTTTTTCTGGATGTGGACAGCATTTTCCATTGTGAGTGTTTTGGAGTTGTCTTAGATCCTTGCATTGCTAAGAAGAGATAAGTCTATCAAAGTTAGTCATCACACAATGTAGCTATTATTGTGTACAATGTTCTCCTGATTCTACTTACTTCACTTAGCATGACTTCATATAAGTTTTTCAAGGTTTTTCTTTTTTTTCCTTAATAAGTAGATTTTATTTGAATAGACTTCCATAATTTAATTACTTTGGCATATACAACTAATTTTTTGTAAGTTTTGTGATAACAATACATTATTTTTTTCTTTTCTCTTTTTTAAAAATTTATTTATTTATTTTTTAGTTTTCAACATTCACTTCTATAAGATTTTGAGTTCCAAATTTTCTCCCCATCTTTCCCCTCCCTCCGCATGCAATCATAGGCTCTACATATACATTTCTATTGAACCTATTTTCATATTAATCAAGTTGTAAAGAATTAGAATTAATGGGAGAAACCACAAGAAAGAAGAAACAAAAAAAGAAAGAAAAAAGAGAGAGCAAATAATATGCTTTGATCTGCATTCAGACTCCATAGTTCTTTTTCTGCGTGTGGACAGCATTTTCCATCATGAGTCCTTTGACATTGTCTTGAATCCTTGCATTGCTAAGAACAGATGAATCTATCAAAGTTAGTCATTGCACATTGTGGCTATTCCTGTGTGCAGTGTTCTCCTGGTTCTGCTCATTTCACTCAGCATTAGTTCATATAAGTCTCTCCAGGTTTTTCTGAAGTCTTCCTGCTCAACATTTCTTATAGCACAATAGTATTCCATTACATTCGTATACTACAACTTGTTCAGCCATTCCCCAATTGATGGGCATCCTCTCAATTTCCAATTCTTTTTTTCTTTGCCACCACAAAAAGAGCTGATATAAATATTTTTGTACATGTGGGTCCTTTTCCCATTTGTATAATCTCTTTGGGATATAGACCTAGAAGTGCTATTGCTGGGTCAAAGGTTATGTACATTTTTATAGCCCTTTGGGCATAGTTCCAAATTGCTCTCCAGAATGGTTGGATCAATTCACAACTCTACCAACAATGCATTAGTGTTCCAGTTTTCCCAAATCTTCTACAGGATTTATCATTTTCCTGTTTTGCCATGTTATCCAATCTGATAGGTGTGATATGGTGACTCAGAGTTGTTTTGATTTGCATTCCTGTAATCTCAGAGTTGTTTTGATTTGCATTCCTGTAATCAGTAGTGATTTAGAGCATTTTTTCTTATGACTATAGATGGCTTTAATTTCTTCATCTGAAAACTGCCTGTTCATATCCTTTGACCATTTATCAATTGGGAAATGACTTGTATTCTTATAAATTTGACTCTGTTCTCTATATATTTTAGAAATGAGGCCTTTATCAGAGACATTGGTTGTAAAAATTCTTTCCCAGTTTTGTTTCCCTCCTAATCTTGGTTTTGTGCATTGGCTTTGTGCAAAAACTTTTCAATTTAATGGGGCACAGGGGGTGCTGTGCCACACTTCTTGTGCTTGTTTCTAGGGGCCTGGCTACTGGCTTCGTGCACTGGGGCCTCAGGTGCTGGCAGTTGA